AATAAGGATAAAATATTTCAACAAATGCGTTATATATTTTTATATTTTTGAACCCATAGGTTTTTGTTTTGTGTTAATGCTGTTCAAAACCCTTGCGTATTTTCGAAAGAGACGGTTAATTGATTTAAATATTGTAAATTTTGGTTTTTACTATTTTTTTCCTTATTTTTCCTAAAACAGTAGTTTAATGCTTATCCTGTCCCACCGAACTGGTAAATAATTATCTGATATTAATGACAGGCAAGGGTGAAGTTGATTTTGTGACACATTTCATGTTTGATATCACTAAAGAATCATTTTAAAGTTAATTTAACTTATTTCAAAAATATTATTTTAGTGCATTTAATATTTTTCAGGGGCGCAAATTTTTTTAAATATCACAATCCCCCGTTCCAAAATAAAGATATGAAAATATCTTAAATTTTTCTTAATTAAAGCTAATAATTATACTGAGTTTCAGCATCATAGCTGATTTTGTCTATGCTTTAGTTCTAATCAAATTAACTAGATAACATTATATAAAACTAAATTTATTTTAAGTTTATTTAAATCAATGTAAAAGATAAGTTTTGCACACGTCATTTTAAATTTTGATTAGATCCAATGCATATTTTGACGAGTATCTAAATTTATTTTTTTAGATGAGAGATGATACTTCCACTGAGACTTCACTTCCAATGATTCTTGCATCAACAAGAAGTTCTAAACTTGAACCCTATCAAGTCAGTTCAAGTCGGTTAAAATCTAGTGAAAGTCAATCTCAGCCAAGTTCAAGTCACTCTAAACCTGCTAAGTCATGTCTGGTGGAATGTTCTTCAATCAAGTTTCTTAATGTTCAGACACCCAAGGAACCCTGAATTTTTTAACTTAAGTCTCCAGCCTATTTTGTGTCGCTTCAAAAAATTATTTTTCGTGAAAAAACTTTTTAAAAAACGTTCTTTGGGGTGGTGAGAGGAATTAAAATTTGACTTATGTAAGGAACAATGGCACAGATTGCAGGGTTACCCACGGAGAAAGAGTTTTTTCTACTTGAATATATTGTTTAAATGCCGTACAGTCGTCTCTGAATTTAAAGCTATTGTTGGTGATAGCGCTAAGACTTGTCCACTAAACAGTGATAACTTTAAAATTGAAGAATTTAAGTTTAATTCAGGGAAACGCGGAAAATCCGCCAACAGGTAGCTGAAAAATTGAATTGGTGGCTGTTTTGTGTGAAACCCTGTACACTGTACATTTTACAATAAACAATATATACACTGCCAAATTATCTATTTATGTTTTTGTAATGGGTTTTATTAAGAACGAAAAAGTTTTTGTCGGGATTTTTACTTTTTCTAGTTTGTTTAAGATCAAAATGAAGTTAAAGATAAAAAACACAGCAAAACATTTTTGCACGCATAATACCCTTTACAATAACATTTATGTATTTTTATTCAATTTTAATTAACTTGTTTAAAAGCAGGTAGATAAAGTTACTTTTTCGCCTTGTTTTAGGGCAATAACGGGAAACAATAGGTGTGATAGATTTCCTTAAAATTAAATAAAAAATGTTTTTAAGCATTAAGAATCAATTCAGGGCACTTTAGGTATTTTTATCAACTGAGAGTCTAGTTGTTAACAAGAAGAATATTCTTCTCCAGGTATTATACAATTCATTTTTTCACAACCATTATAAAGCGGAATGTAAGTCGTCTTTGGTCCATTATAAAGCGGAATGTAAGTCATCTTTGGTCCATTAAAAAGCGGAATGTAAGTCGCCTTTGGTTTTCTTTTGACCATTACAAAGCGGAATGTAAGCCGTCTTTGATTTTCTTTTAATGCGATTTATGCTTCAAGTTCAGTAATTAAGCTATTATCAACTATTAGCAATGAAATAAGAAAGAAAGGAAGAAAAAAATTAAGTAAAATAGAAAAAGTATTTATGAGTGGATTCAAATTTAGTTTTTTTTTCACAAAGAACGGATCCTGGATAAAATGGATTGAAATAGAATATTTTAGTATGTGAATGCTTTTATGTTTTTAAAGTGTAACTTGCTTATTTTTAAGATTATGTATTAATATTTTCAGAATTACCTCCTTTCTGTCTGGAAAAATAAATGTACATGACAAATAATTTAGTTTTTTTTTAGTTGGGATGCTATGATCCCATCCGGAATAAATATCTCCAGATTCCAATAAAGGAAGATGGTTTGAGAGAGAATGCTAAGAAGTTAGGAAAACTACATCATTTGTAACATTAATTAATTAATGAAGAGCCAACCACAGAACCCCAACAAAATAATTGCTGTAATTTAAAGTTTGGTAAAAAATTTAAGAAATTTTATTATATTTTTCCCTTTTTTGAAGTTTTATTATGAAATCTTACAAAGGTTTGTTTAAAAAGATTTAACAGAGAGGAAGAAGAACCCTACTGGAAATCTTGATGTTGGGACTGATGAAATAAGCTTGGAAGATCTTAAATCAGATATTGAGCCTCAAGCTAAGAAAAAACCTACAGAGAAATTGAAGATTCCAGATTGGAAAGAACTGATACACAACAGGTATCTAAATTTAAATGAATCACTGAAAAAAATGCATTGGTCCTAATTCTGAATCTTTGCATTTTCATCTTCAGGAGGAAAATATCTTAATACCTTATTAGATGTGCTGAGAACCTACCTGTTGTCATGCCCCTCCATCTGAAAGTAACCTCCCATGACTTTATATTTATCGATGTATCTATTTAAACCTAGCTTAACCTGTAACAGATTAATTATGAGAGGTTGCTCTTTTTCAGAAGATAAACATCGGAAAGAGGCTATAATTTTAGTTTAAATACACGTAAAATAAAATAACGTGTAAAACTTATTATTTTAATGCATTAGATTCCAGATTATTTTAAACTGCCAATTCTTTAAGTAAACTATATTTCAGATTCATCTTGCCAGTAAAGGATGATTGGATGCCGGTACAAATTGTAAGCTTAGAGAATTCTGGGATAATGTACAGCGTCCTTGTTCCCAAAGGAAAGATGAAAGGTGTAGTTCTGGGACACAGCAATGTGTTCAGATGGATGAATGTTGAACCAGCTGCTGGCTTTGCATATATTTCTTCAACTGCCACTTTAGACTCCTTCAAGGATGTGATGGATGATGTTCTGGCTAAAAACATTCTGAATTTGTCTGGAGATGTTTCTTTTTGTAGCTTTGTAGGATCCAATGATGTCTACACAGGTGTTCAGTCTGTTACAGAGTTCATGAGACTACAGATAGAACTTGTTGCCTGTCTTCATAGGATTCCTGGATGTAACGCCATGATTACTCTAGCAGAATATCCATACCCACCAGAATCTGAGGATATTAAACATGTTCATATCTTCAGGCAGGATTATTTTATTTTCCCTAAATCATGGATATGTATATTGTATATACTTTGGAAATATTTATTTAAGATGGTGAAGGGTATTAATTTTCTTAAATTTTGCTTTCATAAGGAAATTTTTGGCAAAACAATTTAATTTTTGAGAAAAAAGTATATTTAAGCATATATGCAAATATTTCTGATGTACGGGTAATACAAATTTTTAAGAAGGAGGGGGAAATAATTTTTCAAGTTTTTTTTTAAACCAAATTAAAGTTTATTTTTTGATTTTATTTATTCTTTAATACCTTTGAATTGTGAAAAATAAAAACTTCTGTAGGTGCAACGAAGGTGTGTGTGCTCTCAATAAAGCTTATGAGAGTCCACAGTTTAAAACTGGAACTCTATTTTTGGGGCTGGAAAAATTGGAGAATCAAAAACAGCATTTATGTTCTTTTAAAGCTAACATTCAGCCTTACAATATATATTTAAACTGCTGGGATTGGCGAAATGGTGGTGTCTCTTGGAAAAATGACAAGTTCCTTAAGCTCAATAACATGTTGAAATTCTGGCTTTCAAGTACTTCAAAGGGCTCAAAAAGAAAAAAACATGATGGAGTTGTTGTTCTTTCAACTAGTATTACTGACACTAGAGGAAAGTCCCTAAAAGTTTCTCTCAAAAACTGGGGAGGAAGTGTTGGCAATTTTCCAGAGTTTGTATTCAACCCACTCCTGGATGTATCCCCCATCTTAGATTATAAGTGTAAGTTCAGTACTTGGATGGAGAGGAATCCTCTCACATTGGAACTTCCAGAACCTAGACTGTGTAAAAGGTAGTTAAAAGTCCAACTTTTTTCAAAAAAAAAAAAAACAATAATAATTACTAAAGCTTTTAGTTTAAAATAACTATGTTATATTGTAGCAAATGCAATACTCTTAAAAGTTTGTCCCCCAAAATGTATCAGTCCAGGCACAACTAGGAACTGCTGTCCAATTCAACTAGGACACAACCCACCTGGCTCTAAGTGCCACACAAAGACACAAGCGTAGCTTTTACACAAGCTATTAATCTAGCTCTAAATGCCTCACAAGGACACGAGCGTAGCTATCATACAAACTATTAATCGAGCTCTAAATGTCATACATTACACAAGCTTAGCTATCATACAAGCTATTAATCAAGCTCTACATGCCACACAAGAACACAAGAGTAGCTATCATACAAGCTATCAATTGAGCTCTGAATTCACACAAGGACACAAGCATTGGCTATCGCACAAGCTCTTTATCGATCTTTATCCTATGACAAGGTATGATCTCAACCCGACTTACTTCAACAGCATACAACTACTCTACACTGTAATCAAAGCAGGATTCTTAGTCTAACTGACTTGTATTTAAGGTTTATATGTTTCAAGTTAAAGTTAATAGACATAATAACAATTCCTACATCCTTACCTATATCACATGATTACAGCAATCATTTTAAGTAATACAGCACAGTTGAAATAGGGGCATTTAAGATGTGCATATTTATAGGATTAGCGAGGATAATCTATCTCCACACATGTTTATAAGTTGAATGTACATTTTAAAAGAGATTTAAGCTAATCATGCTACGTATTCATTTGAAACACAGTTTAAATGAAAAATTGGGTTTTACAAAGAAGTTTACAAACATAAATAATTTATAATGGTCAGTCGCCGGATGCAATTTAAACTGTCCTTAATGTTCTGCAAGTTTACAGAATTTCATGATTACATGATTTTTGCTACAGTATGACTGAATACCTATGACCAAATTTTTAAAAGTGAGACATGACTGAACCGGGCAAACACGGTTTAATTGCTTTTGTTCTGCTTGAAGTAGCACAGAGGAGAATTGGTTCAGCTACTTTTATAATCTATTAAATCTAGTCCCAGAACCATATTTTGCCTTACACATTTCTCATTTACTGTCAAGCTAGATTTGATTTAGGCCTTAGAAAATGAAAACTTTTTCATGTTTAAAAATGTGACCAATTTTATTTGAATCTAAATCTGTGATTGAATATAAAAGAAACAAATCATGTTCAGCTACATGTACTTTTATTTTGAAGTGAAAAAATTATTGTTGTAAAAAATTCCTTTTACTGCCTGGAAGTTAAATCTCTAATTGAGTATAAAACTATGTGTAGCTATTTGTGATGAGGAATTTTTTTTATTAAAAAGACTAAAGACACAATCGCAAGTGACCTACCACTTAAATTAAAAAACATAGTTTTTCTAAATTTTAGTGTGTTTGGAGAGGAGGCCTTTGTTGATGAGGAGGGAAACTATCTAGGTAAATATATTTTAAAACAAATCTCTTCCCTTGTTAGGATTCTAGCGGTTTGAAAACTCAAAAATTCTTGCCCAAAATCAACTTGTGGAGAACAAGTTTCCAAACTTATCAAATAATACCATATTTAGCTTTCTATAGGAAAGGTCTAATATTAATCATCTATACTGAAATGTTTATTATCTACTTATATGATTTAAGTGTGAATATCAACTTAAGAACCTTATGAGCCTCTGTATCCAAAATATTGTCTACATTGTCAAAAGTCTCAGCGATTGTCTTTGGGACTGTAAATAGAAGAAAAGGGTTTTAATAGATATTTCAACACATGTTTATTGTTTAAGTTAAATTAGCAGACCATAACCAATCTAAAAAGCTGGATACATAATTTTTTTTCAGGTTATAGCTTTTTTGTTTCGTTACAAACTTATTTGGAGGAAGGATATAGGGGTGCATTAAAGAGTTCAGATGGTTTTTTCTTAAATTTTAACACCCATTACATCCCAACAAGAAAATATCTTTTTAAAATTGTGAATTTTATTTTCCAGGCAGAATTTTTGACACTTAAAATTTGATATTTATGAAAGTATTTGTAAGTTAAATGTTTTTAATTCTATTCCATTGAGTTTGTTATGAATTTTACATTAATCCTAAACTGATAATTGTTTGTTCATTTAAATTAAGCCACACAAAAAGTTATTTTATTAATTAAAACTAAGGGGTAACCTAAATGCCCTGTAATTTATTTATTTGTTAAGAAATGTTCACATTGAATGAAGGAATGAACAAGTTGGTTGAATTCCTGGAACAATCTGCTGTATCTTCAGCATTACCATATCTAGGTAAATGGTTATGGGGGTGGGGGGCAATTTTAGACTTCAACAAAGTCACAATTTAGAAAACAGCAGGCCTGTTTGTACACTCTTATAAATTTTAACTTTCTCTAACTGGCAGGTTGAGTGTATTAACCCTAGACTTTTAACCCTTTATGCACGCACAAGTAAAAGAACAAGTTGGTTCAATTCTTTATTAACATCAACGTGGTGAAACTGAAACAAAAACACAAAGTTAGTTTTATTTATATAAAATGTTTAGAGTAAAATATCAGTTATCAGGTTGAAAGATAAAACATTTGTCTCATTTATAAAAGAGTATTTTAATTTCTTTATGAAAAGGCTTTTAACTTGAAATATTGAAGTTTGTTTGATAGAGATCATTTGCAGACTGATTGATAGATAATTTGCAGACTGATTGATAGATAACAACTAGTTGATTGATGGACTCAGAGAAGATTGTTCAGATTGATTGAAGGGTTCAGCAAAGAGATTGTCAGCTTGATTGATTGATACAGAGGAGTGAAGCAAGTTACTACTAGATTATTTCTCTCTAATACTTTTAGAAAACATCAGGCCTGTTTATATCCTCTCTAATACTTTTAGAAAACATCAGGCCTGTTTATATCCTCTCTAATACTTTTTACTCAAATTATTTTTCCTTTTAAATTTATTGCTTTGACATAAGCCCAATTAAATCTAAAGCTAAGAGACCCCTAAACTAGTTTTAAACCTCAAAAGTTGCAACTGAGTGCATTGAAGGGGTGTATATTTTTCTAAATAATTTTTTTATTTAGCCAAAAAGCTATATATGGTTGTGTGGAGTGCAAACATTTTTTTTTTTTTTTTTGCTGAATTAAATGATTTTTCAGGGAAAATAATTGATTTGTTGGGTAAAAATTATTTAAAAAGATCAAAAAAACTTGCTTTATGATGTCCCATCTTTCATTTTTGTTCCCCAATTCATCAAAAATTATTTTTCCCAAAGGGGGAAGAGGGGGGTGTAATTATAAAAAATATACACCCCTGGTTCATTGTTTTTGTGGAGTACAAAAATTCTCTTTTTGTCCACCCTTGGAATTTTCAAGTTTACAATCAAGCTATATGTTTAGTTATGTACAGCAGCGCAGAATATATTACCCTGGCTTTAAAATGTAGCAAGGTCAATCTTTCTAAGAGAATGAAGGAAATCACTTCAGGCATAATTGTATTTGAAAAAAATCTTGAGAGCCTAGAGTTCAGGAATTCCCTAAAACAACAACATTATGGTGCAGAGGTTAAAGTGAAGAAGAAAATGTCGGCCAACCTTGCGGCTGAGCTTTGTACCTGGATGAATTATACAATGAAAGCTACCAACTGTATGCTGCATATATCAAACTTGTCTTTGTCAAGACATGAGACAATGATGTTCATAGGAATAGTTTATGGAACTTACACAAAAAATTATTATTTCTTTAATTACTCTCATGGGGTGGGGGTGGCAAAGGCTGTTTATAAATTATGAAATTTAATTTTGTAAAGATAAAATAGACAAAACCTAATGATTTTTTCCAGGGATTTATATTTTTTTTCCCCCTCACCCCTCCCCTGTCCAAAGGTTATGAATTTTAATTTCAGAATGAAAAAGAGACTTAACCTGATGATTTTTCCAGGGGTTTTATTTTTAGAAATTTTTAATGATGTTTTTCCGAAAAACTTGTACATTAAAAGGCTACTTTTTCATTCTTTAAAATTCTTTTATTTTCCCAAATTCAGCGAATAAAACCAAAAGAAAATTCTGGGGTAAAAATGATTTTAAATAGATGGGGGGGGGGGGGGGGGGGAATTATTTTTCGAGAATATATACACACCACTGTATTTTTCATCAAAGCTGAGATGAAAAAATTATATTATCTAAGGGGAGAAAATTATTTAATCTCATAAAATAAACTGTCAATGTAGATAATAATGCTAAGTTTCTTTGTTCTGCTCTACATCAAGGCATCTTGAAACAGATTCCGGAGAAGGTGAAGAACAATGAAAATCCTAAGCACGTGCAAAGTAAGAGTTATGAGATTATGCAGAGTGAGTATTCGAATTATCTGCAGAGCAAGAAGCTTAAGAGGGAAATGGAAAAGAAGAAAAAGAAACAAAGGAGAAGGAATGTTAAGAGGACAGAGCGAAGAAGTCAAGAAGAGCATAAATTCAGGAAGGCGCAAAGGAAATTGCTGAATAACGTGCAGAACAAGAGACCAACAGATATGGAGAGTGACACTCAAAAGGATAAACAGATTAAGTGCTTTAAGAATGTGCAGAGGGAAAATAATGAGATTCCTGTGATTATACAGAGTGAGAGTTCAAGGAATTTGCAGAGCCTAAAACTTGCTGATATAAGAAAGTAAGATAAAGTTTGACTTTAAATCAGTGCTTAGGATCCATTTAATTTAATCGCACTCGAAAAAAAATGATCCGGATCCAGGTCCTTTCTTTAAGATTCACTGATTTTTTTTTAACAAAAAATAATTTTCAAATTTTTTTTGTTTTATTTTTTTTCGCTTATTTTTATCCTAAAACTTGATGAATCATTCAGAAATGAGGAAATTTTTATAATCTTTCATTTTTTCAAAAGTTCAGTAAAAAAGTTTTTTTTTGCAGTTTTTGGTTGATTTTTTACCCCTTGGATTCGGATCCGTGGATCCGCATATTTTTGCGGATCCGGATCCAGGAAGCCAAAATCTTGCAGATCCAACGGATCCGGATCCTAAGCACTTAAATCAGTCTTCCAATCTTAAAATCTTTTTTTTAGTTCTTCCATTCTCCTTAGAGTTTTCCCATTCTACTTCATCAAGTGCAATAAATTTATTTAAAACTACAAAGGGAAGTTAAAGAAATTTTACTTCACCAAGGGTTTCAAGACTAATTTTGCTTTCAAAGTTGGTCGAGGGAACCCGTGGTTAAGTAAAATTTTTAAGTTCATGAAAAAGTAGTTGTACGCAATTTTATCATGAAAATGAAAACCCAAGTCTATTGTAATAGTTGTCTTTTAAAAGTATATATTTAGAAGTTCAAATCCAAATCTGGAGCTGCTCGGGGCAAATCGGAGACAACACAGCCCTTATGAAATCATGAAGTAAGAAATTATTTATTCAAACTGATATTTAATTGTTTTCTTTAAACTGATATCTTTTTTTCATTATTATAAGCCTTTACCGTACAAAGGCGTTTATTACCATTGTCTTTACCCAAGTCTATTGCAAAAGTATATATTTAGAAGTATATATTCAGAAGCATATATATAGAAGTACAAATCCAAATCTGGAGCCGCTTGGGGCAAATCGGAGACAGCAAAGCCCTAATGAAATCGTGAAGTAAGAAATTATTTATTCAAACTGAGTCCGAATTTAATGAGTTTGAGCCGCGTCTCAAATCCGCCAAAAGTCAGGTTTAGGGCCGGCTTAAATCTTGAAACATTGAATACTATTTTAAAACCGACCATATTTTTAAATTCTTTAAATTCGGCCTCTGATACTTGAATTGTTTTCTACAAACTGAAATCTTTTTTCATCTAATTTTTAAGCTTTTACCGCACAAAGGCGTTAATATCCCCATTGCCTACTCCCATGTCTATTGCAACAGTTTTTATTTAAAGTATGTATTTTGCAGTATATATTTAGAAGTATATATAATTAGAAGTATATGTAATAAGGAGTATAAATATATTAAGAAGTTCAAATCCAAATCTGGAGCCGCTCGGGGAAAATCGGAGACAAGAAAGCCCTTATAAAATCGTGAAGAAAGAAATTATTTATTCACCATTGCCTTCATCCAATTTATTGCAAAAGTATATATTTAGAAGTATATATTCAGAAGCATATATTTAGAAGCTTAAATCCAAATCTGGAGCCGCTCGGGAGTCCGAATTTAACGAGTTTGAGCCGCGTCTCAAATCCGCCAAAAGCCAGATTGAGGGCCGGCTTAAATCTTGAAACATTGAATACAATTTTAAGTGGAACCAACCATGTTTCAAATTCTTTAAATTCGGCCTCTGATACTTAAATTGTTTTATCCCCATTGCCTACTTCCAAGTCGATTGCAAAAGTTTTTATTTAAAGTATTTGTTTAGAAGTATATATAGTTAGAAGTATATATAGTTAGAAGTATATATAGTTAGAAGTATATATAGTTAGAAGTATATATAATTTAGAAGTGTATATAGTTAGAAGTATATATAATTTAGAAGTATGTATAATAAGATGTATATATTTAGAAGTATATTTAATTAGAAGTAAATATTTAGAAGAATATATATAATTAGAATTATATATAATAAGATGTATATATTTAGAACTATACAAAGAAGTTCAAATCCAAATCTGGAGCCTCTCGGGGCAAATCGGAGACAGCAAATCCCTATTGAAATCGTTAAGTAAGAAATTATTTATTAATTTATTATAATTGTTACTTAATGTTATATTTATTTTTTGAAGTAAAATAGTAAAAATATAAGAAATGCGTGAAAATAGATTTAACAGTCCACACTCACCCTCCCCTCATGCAAAAGCTTCCAAAAGCAATATTCTTCATCAGATATTAACGCATGCCTTTATAACCCTAATTATATTTTGTAATACTATTTATTAACATATAGTGGTTCAAATCCAAGTTTGGAGCCGGACAGTGGAAGAAGGAGAAACAATAATGATAACGTCAAGTAAGTAATTATTTATGAGAAAAATTATACCTTTACAAATTATACAAATTACAAATATTATCACAAATTGGATACTCATAATCCCGATTGCTTGTTCTCGATATTCACTGTGGGCACTTTAAAATTGAGGATCAATTCTTAATCTCTTCCTTTTAGTTTTCCCTTCAAGGTAGGATTACAATGCAGATAAAGATTAAATTAATCTGTAGATTAGAAAAAGATCAAAACCAAGGATTGATCACGATATCCACAATAAAAGAGCTCAAGTTTTTTTTACCTTGTATATTTATCCTTCTAAATTTTCGCACATTAAAAATTCAAATCCAAATGATGAAAATTTTCATCTTTATTGTTGTGATTTGATCCATGCAATAAACGTAGAAACTTTTTTTTGCATTGTTAATGACCATTCGGCTGTCAGGATTAGAGTCAAAGAATGTAACTTCAAAATTTCGATTTTATAATAATATTTAAAAATCAGTAATTTGAACCGAAAAGTCATTGAATTCTTTAGTTTTATTATTGTATGTAAAGGATAAACTACAGGGTGTCCCACGGTCCAAAGACAATTTGAAGGTCGTCTTTAAACTTTGAAATAATTTTCGGCATTTATTCGTTAACCTACTTTAACATGTATAAATCTTAAGCTAATAATCACAGAGCTCAGTTTTTCCAAAATGTGGTCTGCCTTTTTTGTGCTTTGAATATTACGAACTACGAAATTCTTCATATCTCTGGTAATTATGAAATTTCAGGCTTGTAGGTCTAAAAACCGTGACCGCAATTGACATTTAGCTTTACAAAAACCCTTAAAAGAAAAAAAATTATTTTTTTCTAAAGACATCGCAATTGGTATCAAAGATACGTCTGGAGTGTATCTGGAGCCGGGGAATACTGTCCCGTTGTTTTTGTTTTAATATATTGAAATCTGTTTGATATATGGCCCAAAAACTGGCTTGTTTGGTCTCAAATATCAGTTTGTTGGCCTCTGATTTGTTAAATTATCAACGGATTTCTTCGATATCAGAATTTCTGAATTCATTGTTTCAAGACGGATCTTATGGTTCCCATATCGATGTATTTTTTTCGTTTGCATTAGTGAATTATTCATAAAAACCGGTTTCCGCCTTTTCCAAAAACCAATCCTATGCAAATAGAGGGGTCGAGTGCAATGGACAAAATCGATAACTTAATGGAAATATATGGATAAACCATATATGCCAGAACTAGGGATATTTTGTGGTTTTTAATTCAAGAACTTTAAAATTAGATTTACGAATAAATCCCGCAAATTGTTTCAAATCTCAAATACAACCTTTAAGTTGGTTCTTAAATGTCATGTTTCGTGGGACACCCCGTATATAAATTGATATTTAGAGGGTCGAATCCAAATTTGGAGCCTATCGGTAGAAAGAGGAAGAAGTGTACTCAAGATAAAGGTATTTTTGAAAATAAAAACTGTACTTAATTAAATGCTTGCAAATCTTAATCAAAGTTCTTTAAAATTAACTCTATATATTAATTTTATCAAAAACAGTGCTATAGCTAGGATACATTGCATTTGTATCCGGACCCGGACCCAACAAATAAATATTTCTTTAATGTTAAATTACAAATTATGTTCTCTGACCCCAAAAAATCCCAACATTTTCTTCATCCTTATTTCCCTAATTGTATCTAGAAACTAAGTTTTTCTTCAGTGTTTTTCATGAGTTTAGTCAGTTGGATCTGGATCAATCTTAAACCTTTGAAGGATTCTCAATCTTTAGTCTTTACTTAGTCAATAGTTAACCTGGCTTGACATTAATTCTTTTCCGTCTGTCCTATCATCTTTTGGTATCCTGTCATCAGGATGTTTATTTAGTTTATTTTAGGCTCCAAACCCTTCAAGTGTCCGAAGCTAGAATATTCGGTCCGCAATCCAATTCTGGATCAAGGATTTGTAAATCCACAGATATATAGTGGATACGGCATTTCTGGGAGGAAACGTGGATTCGGTAATTCTGTGATTACATTGGATTAATTGATCCATGGATTTGGTAATCCAGGGATGAATCATGGATTCATATATCAAGGGATGGATCATAGATTCATATATAAAGGGATGGATCATAGATTCATATATCAAGGGATGGATATCATGGATTTGAAAATCTACGAAATCAGGGATTTTAATTATCCCGAGACTGCTTCATCATATTTGCCGGATTAACCATCGTAACATTTACACCAGATTTTAAACTGAACATTTTTAGGATAAATATTAAGATTTTTAGATTTTGACTTAATAGCATAGTTTATCCTGATAAAAAAATTCTGTGTTTTATGTGATTAAACAAATGTGCATTTTGATTATTTTTTTTACTTTAATCTTTAATAAAGTTATATTTTTTCGATTTTTTTTTTTTATCTGATGAAAATCATTTTTAATCAATTTATTATTTTCTGAGACCCCTGTATAGGCCTCAAATATCGCTTGTTTTTGTGTAGACTCCCTGTAGATGTGAATAATGTGTATGGGAAAGGAGGTTCAGTAAAGAAGTTTAAGATAAGTAGAAGTGGTCACATTAGCATAAAAACTGAATCCTGGAATATTTATCTCTATGTTTATCTTAAACATTTTATTCAACTTTTAGTCCGATGGTTGACAGGTTTTAACCGGTTGCTACCGACAATTTAACCCTATTAGCCCCCTCCCCCCCCTGTTGTTTAGTTTCTGATAATTTTGTTGTCTCCCCAGTGGAAGCCCATTATACTGATGTAAACCATTGAACGGAAAGGGTGCCGCCCAGGCTAAAATTTAAGCCTGACAGTTTGAATCGTCCTGGTATTTCGAGAAACCCCAGTCAAAATAAAGCAAGTTAAAAAAATTAAATGTAAGAAAATCGTCTTTATTTTCAACGCGGCATTCAGTTTTAGAGCTTCTTGAATATCTATATATATACTTTGCTTGTCTGGTTGTCTGTCTGTCGAGTCTGTCTGTTTGTATCCAACATTTATCAAAACGGCTGAATGGATCGGGCCCAAATTGTGTGTGGGACCTCACATGAAGCTCTATAGATGATCAAAAATTTGCCTTCAGAAAATTTCTATTTTCAATAAATTTAAAAATCCACGAAATCTTTTTTATAAAATCCGCGAAATTTTTTTTGGTTTTGTTTTGTTATTTATACAAAGACTATTTTTTTTAAGAAATAAGAGTTTGGAACTTTGTGTTATACAGCGGTAATTTAGAATTGATAATCTCGATATCCATTGTGGGTACTACTAAATTGAGAATAAATGATGATCTCTTAGTTAAACTTACCCATTGCTGGGTACGACGACCACGGAATATCGAAGAGGAATTGAATTATCCTAAAGATCAAGATTCACTAATCTTGAGTTCTGACTTCAGTAAAAAAAAATCCATCTCCATTATAAAATTTTAAACTATTGAAAAATTTGTGCTAAGATTAAGATAAAATTTAGCTTAGTAATGTTGACATCTAAATACAGTGATATCCAGAAAACTCGGGAATTTGGAAGACGACATTAAGTTAAACCTATAAAAAAATCAAAGAGCACGAGACACTGAAATTGTGCAGTGTAAACAGACCCATTTCACTAAAAAAGTGAACTAATTAGTATCAAGGTAAACTTTGTGCTTTGCAACAACTTCAATTACATAGTATTGCTATACTGTCGTTATCTGGTTATCACTGTATTAAATTGAATAATAGAATTTAATGAAGCTTAGGCTAAAAATGAAAATAATTCCGGACTATGAATGCTTACATGTTTTTTTCAATTATTTTACTCGATGCGAATTCCCGAAATGCGCCAAAGGAATCGGATATCTGTACAGCCCTAGGCTGTCACAAATGAAGTATCCTGTTTCTTCTTATTTTTAATACAGTGATAACCAGAAAACTCTGAAATAGGATGACGACTTTATATCAATAATTAAATTTATTTGATGTTGCTACAAAGCAAATAGATTCACTATATGACAATTATTAAATCACAAATTTAGTGAAATGGCTCTGTTTACACTACACAATTGTTGTGTCTCATGCTTATTGGACTTTTAAATGTTTTTAAATTGATTCTAAAAGTCGTCTTTCTATTTCAGAGTTTTCTGGTTATCACTGTACTTTCTGTATTCTAGTAAGATTCTTGTTTATTAGTATTTTGTACATGCCTAGGCTAAAATTCCCTTTGCTTGTCTGCCAATGACAGTATTTTTGTTAAAAAATGCAAGATGAAAAAATACCCGGTTACGGTCGGCTCGTCATTGAAACGTATAGTACAGAGTGTCCCAATAAACATTGGAAGTGAGAGTCGACTTGAAAGTCGTCTTTGATTTCTGATATTTAATGCATGGCAAAGAAAGTAAAAAACCGAGGCTGTATGTCGGACGAGCTTTTCATACCTTTCTTCTATCTTGAAAATTTACGAAAATATTAAATATTAAGTCAATTTTACTAAATTAAATAATTTAAAATTTGCACCGTTTTTGCAATTTCTCCGTCAATTTTGAAGATACAAAAATGATGTCCAAATAAAACCGGGATCCCAGTTGTGGAACACCAAGTTAAAAATAATCTGGATTTTATTAGGATTATTGTAAGATTTATTGGGGCAAAATATTCAAAAATGTTTTGATGTACTCTTAATTTTCTAATTCAGGCCTTCAACATTGTTTTTACGACTCGCTTATCATTTTTCACAGAAAAGATGCTTGCTATTGATTACAAATCTTGTACTGTAAGGTCGGAAATCTATATAGGTCCGTTTCTTCTACAGAGTGTCCCAATAAACATGGGAATTAAATTACAACTTCTATATCGGTTGTGTTTCCAGTGGGATTATTTCGTAAAAATTATTTTGTAGTATCAGAGTTAAAACATTTACCACCAAAAACTATATGTGGTCTAAAATTTGTTCACCTTCAAATTGACGGAGATATTAGGAAAGTAATTGAGTCTTTGTAAAAACTCTGATTTTCTAATACCTGTATTTTTTCACCTGATGGTGTAAACCTTTGATATTTTTTTCATCTAACAGAATTCATAGATTGAAATATCTAAGGTCTACGGCATTGGATTACAAAGATATAGAGATTAGAAAATCATAGTTTGTGACAAAGACTCAATCCCTTTGTCCAGAATTCAGTTATTTAAATATCAACAAAACTGTTCAATTGTATTTAATACCTCCGTCAATTTTAAAAATACGAAGAAGGTAGACCACATTTTTGAAAGCCCAATAAACAAATTTTTTTTATGATGCACTATGTCATTTGTTAATTATCTGAAATCAAAGATGATATTCAAGTCGTCTCTCAATTCTCATGTTTATTGGGACACCCTGTTCGGATACGAAGATACTTATTTTCAAGCAAATCATGCTCTTGAGAGCACAAATAAACCTTGAATGAGATATAAACAGTATATCACAGATTAGATTAAAAAGTCATGTAATCATCATCGTCCCTTTTTTCTTTCAAACTTTGAGAAATTTTTATTATTTTATTAGACTTGGCATAGCCTGCTGTTGATTGTCAAGATTTGCCAGCAAAGGAAACAATAAATAAAAGATTTTGCGAATTTCTATGATTTGAACTTTGAAAGAAAGAAATTTTAATCAATCACATATTTGTTTTGGGGCATCTTGTTGGCTTCTAATCATGATTAATGATTAAATTATTATTTATTAAATAAATAAAGATCATTTGTAAAACCTTAAAAAAAAATTTTACACATTTATTTTTTGGATTTTAAATTTAACAATTGGCAATTTTGGAACCGTCTATACACTTGACTAATTAGCTCATAATAACATATAAATACACTTGACTAATTTGCTCATAATAACATATAAATACACTTGACNATACATAATAAATAATTTAGTATTTATTAAGTAATTTAGCTTCAAGTTTACTCTATTAAACTTTTTTTTACTTTTTAACATTTTCGACTATTAAATAAACAGCTACACTATTTCTCTTTAAAAAATTTTTTTTTTAATTTATAAAACTTCTTTCCATACCTTTTCACGTTTCAAGAGCACTCCCTTAAAGGCCAAATTTAATCTCACTAATTACTAACTAGTCCAGCACATCTGAAAGTGGTTTTCACTCATTTTAATTGTGGCTATAAGTCTTAATTTTATTAGCTTTGAATCTCGCAGGTGATTTGTATTTTATGTTTGTATTGCATTCTTCAGCAGATTTTATAGATCCAGATTCAAACGTTACATTTTATTGAAAATTTTAAAATGATTTCCTCTTTTCCTAACGCTTTATTAACTATAAAGCAATATCAGATTTTCTTTCTAATATTATATACAGGGTTACCCATATAGGATAAGACTTCAGAGACGACCTTTGTATAACTACTAGTTCCCCGCAGCCGAAGATTTGTTTTTTTCTATGGCAAAATCATTCAAGACTATACTTTTCAGACGTAGGATCGTTTTATTAGAAGCGTTTTAGGTCGTCAATTAAGTCTCATCCTTTGTGGGTAACCCTGTAGGTAGACTTTTTATTATTAAAGGAATTCAGTTTGTCACAAAATCTGATTTTCTTATCTTTATATCTTTGCATTTTAATGTCAGAGACCTTAGATATTTCAAACTATGAATTATTTTAGATCAGATAATAATAGTTTGAAATATCAAAGGTTAACACCATCAGGTTACAAAGATATAGCGATTTGAAAATCAGAATTTGTGGCTTAAACTCAGTTCTTTGAATAACTTTAAAGACCTGGATCCGGATCCGGATCCGGAACAGAAGGGGATTTACAGAATAATTTCTCAGATCCGGATTCTAATCACTGCATTCTAGTTTGTAAACACAACATGCCTAGCTTCAACCTCACTCTACAGGATACAATTTTTATAAATCTTGTAAAGTATATATTTAATTTAAAGGGACTGTAAGCGTAATTTCAACTGACGCTCCATGATGGCTAAGCGCGATTTACAACGGTACCCTTGAAACCTTAATCTGATAGAAAATGTGAAAGAAACCGTTGTTATTCCGCTCGAAAAGTGTTTATTTCTGTGAGTTTCTCCATAATTTCTCATAAACAAGGAATGCCCAGTAAAACTCACCATGGGACAATATGAAAGTTTTTACAAAAATCGGCAACAACAACAACACTCAACAAAAATTGTTCATTTAAACTTGCAAAACAACATTCTGATTTTTTTTTTAAATAAAAAATTTGTGAGCGCAAGAAAGATTGTTTTTTAAGTTGCGTGAGGAACCTGTGAAATTGCCCGTTAACCTGTTCAATTTTTAATAGATTTAAATGATTTTATCATTTTTGAATTCAGTGTTTCAAGACATATCGACATATTTTAAAGAAAGATAAAAATTTCGCTTGCACTAGTGAATTAATAT